CTTTCCATACCATCAATACCCCTGGCTATGAAGTTATAATCTTTGCCCCCTAGGAAATCACCAACCTCCACTAATGAACATTCATGAAGTACTTAATGATCCTCAGGTGAGAACAGAGGTTTACCTGCAGATTCAAAACAGGAGTGATGCTGGGTTCACAAAGTGCCTGATTTACATACCTCTGAATACCTCAGAGAGGCTTCTTGTACTTCTATTAGGTAACAAACTTCTCCACAGAGAACTAGCAGACAAACTATTTCTGTAAGTTGCCAAAACACCTTTCCTCACAAAGCACTCAATTAGCAAACACAGCAACTCATTGTGGGTCTCCTGCCCATACTTCGGATTTTTATCACAGATATTATTTCAGGTGTTCAAATCACATATTACAGAAGCATACTATGAAAAACTAACAGAATGTGCTATCAGTTTTATGTGCTTAACTTCAATATTTCTAAAGGCAACAGTCATTGTAAGCCCCTAACTTATGAAGCACAAAAGGATGTTTTTTTCTCTCATTTTCCTAATTTTCAAGAAGAATAAAATGGTCTCAAACAAAGAGTTTGTGCTTAAGAGCCACTTATTAAAAACAAACAAAACCTCCTTTAACTGCAAATTTTAATCTAATTTGTGATCCTTACTGGCAAGAAATAAGCACCAAGTAGAGAAAAGTGCCCCAAGCCTTGTACTCAGGAGAGCACGTAATACAATGGTGAGATGGGGGAAATGGGAAAACTTTTCAGGGGTTTAGATTCAAGTCTGCTAGGGCCAAAAATCAAACGGAGCTTGGGAAAGAAAGGGGAGAGGGAGAAGGAAGGTCACATGAGCTGAGGAAGCATTTCATACATCAAGATCTTACCGTGTTGCATGGCATTCTCAACCCAGCCAAAGAATAACTCTGCCCCCAGGAAAATTCAAATATCTTAATTTTAGTCTCCTAATGAGATTGTTGTGGAAGCAGGTTTGGTTCTATTTTCTACAAAGCCTCATTTCCTCCCCTTAATGAATTAATTCAATATGCTTTCCTTGATACAAATACAGTTACCCCATTTCAATGCTGTGCTTCTCCGCTCTCAGGTCTTCGAGTCCGTGAGACTCCAGATAACCAGCAAGTCTTCTACGCATTGACTGCTCCTCTCTTTTCTCTTCCCCTCCGTCGCCACCTCCAATCTCCCTCCTGGCAAACTTTTGCTCCTCTGAAGCTCCCAGGAAGAACACATGGGTCACTTCTTCCCTTCACCTCTTTCAGCAGGAAGAGGAAAGTAACCCTGACATCGCCTGCCTCACAAAGCAGAAGGGATACAAGGGACCACTGCACTTCTTTTATCGATTCCCAAACAAATACAGAGATCTGACTTCTCCTGTCCTTCCCTCCTCCTCTTCTGGGAAAAAATATCTAGTGCCTTCTCAGATTATTGGTCTGAACATTTCTAGCATTTGCCAAATGGGCAGGATTTTTAAGTTCTGAATCATTTCCACTTGTATAAAAGTATTTATCTGGCTCAACCATCACCCATTATTCCCCATTTTAGTGGAAAAGGAGGATGCATCATTTCTTTTGTCTTCAGGAGATGGCAGCAGAGCCTGTGGCATTTGGTGACTAACTAAAGATACATTTTTCACAGGAGAATTGCCCAAACCAACATGTCCCAAACTAGCAAGCCCATACATATATGTAAAAGGAACTGAATGGTCAAACTCCACTCAAGAGCAACGATTCGGTTGCAGGATGCTTTCACAAAAAGAGTACAACCCCAACTCTCTTCCTCTCCTGTCAAAGCTTCCTACTTCACAGAGCACCTTAACCTGGTTAAGAAATTAAACTCAAAGTGGTAAAAGTCAGAAGTTTGGTTAAAGAATTTGTAGTAAACTGCACTGAGTTCCAATAAGCTGATTTAGAAGAAATTAAGCCGATTGTAAGCATGCTCTAGGCAAGGTCTACATTTACTAACCAAGAAATCAAGTGCAGAAAATACAGTTCATGCTTGGACGTTTCTAGGTTCAGAAAAATCCCGAAACCAAACACTGATTTTCAGGCTCAATTACCTTTTTTGTCCTGCCTCCAGTACACGTGACAATTCAGCAGTTTTCTCATAAACTTGGAACTTCCTCCCATATACGTTAAGCTTAGCGCTGTGCCTTGCAAATGGAAACAAATCAACAGTTCTGCACGAACTCTGTAATGCTAACTTGGAGGGGGGGGGGGGGGAATTCCCTGTTCTTGTGAGAAACACGTACAGCTGCAGGGCCTTGAAGGGTTTGCTGCTTGAATCCAGGCAAAACAAGCCGAGATATCAGAGCTTACCCCAACTATTCACTGTGTTTATATATAATATTGATATTTTTCTGTTATAACCAGTGTTCCCCAGCTGCGGTGCCACTTGCACAAAGCCAGCTAGAGGAGTGTGAACCTACAAAACCTCTCGGTTACACAGCTCCCTGGTGCAGCAGCTGCTGTCTGGGTACATCTAGTCATGCTCCGCACCCCTCGGGTAGCATGGCTTTGAGAGAAGGGCAACAGGGAAAGGCTGGAGGGCATCCTCACGGGCTTCCTCTGAACTGACACGAGTCAGGACAATAAAGGCATCAAAAGGCCCCAGACAGCAATCAGCTCAAGAATCAGTGCAAGATTTTCTGTTTTCTTTCCTTAAAAGCAATAGCATAACAACTGTAACAAAACTACAAAACTATTGAGCAACAACTGAATCGGCCCCGCAAAACCAATAAAGCACAGGGAGTATTATTTACATCTGCTCCACAAAAAGAGCCAAATTACTACAGGCAGTAAAACTTGAGTCCTTACTATTGCTATTTTTCCTCATGCAAATACAGTTCTAAAATAGATTTTCAAATTCCAGAACTAACAATAACAACATTTATGAATAAATGACAAAGATGAAATGGACCTCTAGAGATTCATCAAGTTCACTAACAGAACAGTGAATTATCTCAGTTTTCCAAATCATGTCTGAGAAAAAATGGGAAACAGAAGTCTTCTCCTAAATCATTAAAAGATGAGAGAAGCACAAACATAATACCAAGTAACACAAACCCAGGTGGGATATAATAGCAATTATCAAGCTCAGAAGCTGGTATTTAGCCCGTCAATTAAGAAAAAATCTTAAGCAGCTGAGAAACCTTTAAATGAAACAAAACTTTTCCTGAACTCAGAGGTCCTCTGGAAAAGAGGTCACCTAATCTCACATACCTGGATGACAGAAACATCACAACCTGCTGTGTTATTACCAGTGTTATGTTGGATTTGGGGAACAGAGGGCTGCAAGCAACACACGCTGACTACACAGTCTCTTTTAGATCTGAAATTTCAAAAGTATCTGTGAACTTGCTAGTTGCTTTCTTAATTCTTTCTCTGCCAAAGTAGACTGTTCATAATTACAGCTGATATTATGGGTCTTTGTGCTCCCAAAATTATCGCTGTGCTTTGTGGTGTGTGTTACTATGCAACATATGCACTCCCTGAGAAAACGCACTCAGATGGAGTTAGTTTGTTCAGAAGAACTGGTCCACAATTTTGGATTAAATGCTGAAGACAGATCGGATCTCTTCAAACAACACATTAGTTTCTATAAGCTGGAAGCTTTATCTGAAGCTTTAGATCTATTTTGGGATCTATCTTCTGAGAGCACTTGCTTTTTAGAGATCTCCTCTGATCTTTGTAGCTTGACAAACAATTTGCTTTTGTTCCAGAGTATCCCTATGTAACTTAATGTGTTCCTTCTGCAGTGCTCATCGAGCCCTTTCATCGTACTGAAACTCAGCTATTTTTCAGTTTGAGTTCTGTCATCCCATTTGCCTCAATCTGAATTTTTAGACAACACCTGGATTCAATATTAAGATTTTATCCCACACAAGAACTGGCTGCATAGTGCTAACAGTGCTTTGACAGGACAGGAACGTGCTCTGCTCTTCAAAGATGTGAAGGAATACCAGAAAAGCAGAAATATGCAAGCAGAGAACCTTAAGGGATTAATTCTCAAGCCACACTAGTGATAAAGCTGCCTTTAAGTGAGAACAAAAACTTAATCAAAGCTCTGGGAGCAGAAGGGAGCTCTGTGTTCTTTACTTTTTAAAATATGAAAAACTATGGAAGTAAGTTTAAAAGAAGTTCCTGTAAGAAGTCCTGAGCAGCACAAGCAAGGCCGAGCTCCAGCCCCTAGTGGAGTGCAGCAGCAGAGCAGGCAACTCGGGCTGCGACCTGCCAGGAGACCTCAGCGGCTGCCGCCTGGCCTGGGCGGCTCAGCCACTCCATTTAGCTGATGGAGGGTGGAAGGAAAACACATCTCTCGTGTCAGGAGCACTGCTGAGCAAGGATCACGTCCCCATCACTGTTTTCACCGAGCAGCGCTGCTGCACTCCTCATGAAGCCCATCACTCCAGCTATGAGAGGACCCTTTTTAAATCTAGGGCACCCAGGTGACTACAGGATTGCCCAGGACCCTAAACACAGCTATCTAAGAGGGTTGGCTCATTACTTTTTCACCGCAGCCATCGCTAAGCCTTTCTACTGATACTCACCAGCCGCTCACGACGCTGGAAGCTGCTTATGGGCTGTAAGAAAACGGCCAAGCCCCTGCCATCAAGCAGCCTCGCTGCACGACCTCCCCCCTGCGGCTGATAAAATAACCCCCTCACCATCCCTTAGCAAAACCTTAAGCACCTCAGCGCCCATTCACCCTGCCGCAAGCCGCCAGCCGGGAACACTAACCCCCAGCCTTGCATAACGCGGGCTTTAAGAAGCAGACGGGGGAAACCCTCTCCTCACACGGCTGGGGGCAGGACAACGGCCCTACAGGGCGGCCGGGCGAGCCCTGCGCAAGGTCACCGGGCAGGGAGAAGCCGGGCGAGGCCCTCGGCTACCCGCAGCCAGCGGCGAGCGGGGCAGGGCCGCGGCGCTGAAGGGCTCCGGGAGCCAACCGGTGCGAGCCGTTAGGGAGCCGTTAACGGCCGCGGCGTGAGGGGGGGGGGGGCCTCGCACTCACCCCTTCATGGCGCGGCCGGGCCTGGCCGTTACCCGCCGTCCGCGCTGGCTGCGTGCAGGGCCCGGCGGCGCGGCTCGGGCCTCGCCTTCCCCCTCCTCGTCCTCTTCGTCCCGGGCTCGTCCTGGACCCGGCGCCTTCTTCTCTTCCTTCTCCTGCTGCCCGTCGCCCCCCCGCCCCGCGGCCGCTCCACATGGGCCGCCGCCGCCGCCCGCCCCCCGGCGCCCCCTCACCTCCGGCCGTTAGCGCGGCGCGTGCGCGGCGGGGGCGGGGCCTCCGCGCGCCGCCCGCGCTGATTGGCGGAGGAGGGCGAGGAGGGGGGAGGGAGGGGGGGGGAAGGAGAGGAGCGCGCTTGGCGCCGCGCGCGCGTGCGGGGGGTCACGTGGCTTGGGCGGGAGGGAGGGGGGGTGAGGGGAGGGAGGGGAGGGTGGTGAGGCGGCGGCGCATGCGCACACGGGGCCGCCGTCAGCTGAGCTGAGCCGGGCCGCGGCCGCTGCAGGGAGCGGGGCGCCGCAGGTGAGGATCGCGCCCCCCCCTCCCCTTTTCATCTCCTTCACCCTCCTCTCTCACCACCTCCCCACGCTAATCCGCTCCCCTCGCCTCCACTATGTGCGTGGGGGTCTCCTGTCAGGGCCCCCAACGGCCGTCAACGGTCGCCAACGGCCGCCGGTGCCCGCCGCCATGATGGCCCGGCCCGGCCCGCTCTGTGGGGCTCCAGCACCGGGGGGGCTCCCCCGCTGTGTCCTGAGGGTGCTGTGGTACCGCGGTGCTGCTTGCCAGGGCCGGCCGGTGGGGGTTTGCTTGAAAACGCCGCTGGTGAGGCCGGGAAGGTTCGTGTTCCTGGAGTTAGGGGTGGAAGCTGAGCCCTCCTGAGGTGATCTGCCCGTAAAATTCGTTTAAAGGTAAGGTTTAAGGTGAAGGGGCTTTGTTCCGGGTGCTCACGTCGCTAGCTGTGACCCTCCGGTATGTGACATGTATGTATCAGGATCTATCCATCCAAAGCAATTTCTTCTACATTTTATTCACTTCTCCTACAACAAATTACAGCATTCATACTCCAGCGGGGAATAAAAGCAGTTTGGTGATAATTTTATTCATTGTAATGCAATGCTTCAGCGGAGCACACCAGCCATTTGATCCCTCGCAGTGTTTAAAATGCTAATACGACTTGGTGAAGTGGAGAGGGAAAAGGAGGAAAACCTGCCAACAGCAAGCTGAAGCTGGTTCATGGGCCTGCCCACTTGTAGCACCTCATTGAGCATGTGCCTAGTGTAGGTTGGTATCGCTGAGTGAAAGTTTGAACAACTATAGGCAGATCTTTACTATATTGTGTAAATTGCTGAATTTGTACTGACTTTGGCACTCCGCAGGCCTGCAGCAGATGAAGGTTTAGCTTCTCTACACAGTACTTTTAAAGGTGTTTTATTATTTGTTAGTAATTTTGTCACGTTTTATTATTTTCTGACTAAGAATATGTGACTTGAAGTTAGTGTCTACAGGTCTTTGAATACCCCAGAAATCTTGCAGATTATTTTTACTGTGCTTTCCAGGTTATTAGGTCAGGTCTTCTTGAAAACTGTTTTATTATTGTATGGCAGAAACAGCTAGCGTCAATTCCATAATCAGGAGACAAAGCATGGCATTAATGTCAAACAACCAGAAGCATCAGTGTGGTAGGGTGGAGAAGGAGAAACTAAGACAAGGCTGGAAAATGTCAGCTGACATCAGCTGACTCTTCAAAGGGGGGTTGAAGTCTTGTGTTGCAATAGTAACACAAGATCTCAGTTTCCTGAAAATGCACCCTTCCATTTTCCCAATCAAGAGCTATTTTCTATTTTAAAGTTCATCCAGGAGCGATTAGTACTACTTCCTTAATTCTCATACCATCTTAGCATAAGTTTAACTTTTATTTTGATCTAAGTATATGTTAACTGCTTTATAACTCAATATAAACTTGCTGGATGAAGTCTGTAGGCTTCAGTGTGCTTCAGTCTTTTGTTTCCCTAGTATAAACTTGGAGCATTTATCTTCCAGATGCACACGGGTACTAGCATTACTTGTGGTCATCTGAAACAGCTGTAGACCAGCAGATTACTGGAGGATTCCCCTGGAGATGCATTTAGATGCACCTTGGTCCTCCTTTTGTGTTTTGATATCACAATACTGTCTCTTCAAGTTCCGAAGCCCTCCAAACTCCTAGTAGCATTTTTCCCTCATGCTTGCTTGTGCTGAAGCTATGTTCCTAATTAGACATCCCCAGCCTTTTAAAACAAGTGAAAGCATTACAGGAGAACTTGGTAGATCTATTTGGTTACTTTGGTGTTGACCAAAAAATGTTGCATGCTGTTGCTGGCCAATAATAGCGCCCTTATTTTATTTTATTATTATTTTTTTAACTAAAGTGCATGGAAACGTATTAGCACTTAGGCAGAAGTTACCACAGTGAACTGAAACTGATTTTCTTTCCCCAATACTTGTATCGTTTTTTACAAAGAAAAGTATTTTTTTTTTTTTAGATTTGGAAATATTGAGGTATTGTTGAGCAATGGTATCCACATGATTGTTTCGAATGGAACACAATCAAGGAAAACAGGTGATTGGAACAACGGGGATATCATGCTTGTTCACTCTTACTCACTGTCCTCAGGCATGTGACTTCTTCAGCCTTCCAGCTGGATGGAGAGAAATGGGGATCTGCTCCAGCACAGGAAGCTGAATGAATCAACCCTTTCTGTCTGTACAGAGGCTAAGCTCCTTCTTCAGTAGGTGATTACCTACAGATCCATCATGCAAAACTGCCTTAGGTTGGATCTTCTGGATGTCAGCACTGGATCTTGGCCTTGTTCTGAAAAAGGGCTTTTTGTGTGCGTATTGTCATCATAGTCCCTTCCACCTTTGAAAGTGGAAGACTGAGCTTATACTAAACACCTGGATTTGGTTGTATCTCGCAGCAATAAGTTCTACAATGTGTATCTGTAATTTTTGTCCTGGCTAGCTTATCTCATCTCTGCATGCATTTATTTCGCCTGCTTCTGTCAGGTTCTCCTAAACACCTCCCACTCAGAACAACTGACCTTTTGCTGCCAGCTTTTTAGACTTCTGTATGTAATTTACCTGCTATCTAATAGCATCATTTCTGTACTAAAATTATATTCTTATTCTGAAACTGGTTAGATATACATGGATAAATCCCGAAAATCATAGCCTAGCAGGCTTTATTCCTATCACTTAACCAAATAGCAGATGAAAATCCCGCTTAGCTGTTGAATTTATTTCCTAGGTCATCACTTTGGTTACTGCACTGAGCTTTTCTGACAGAAAATTTCAGTGCTCACTCCAGAAATAGTTTGTCTGACAGTGATCTAATGCATGTGTGGTAGCTGTTGACAGCTCTTCTGTCATTGTTCACATCATTTTGGAGAGTCCATTGTGGCTGTTCTAGGATGTTGTAATCAAGGAGTACTAAAACTAGTATGAGAAGCTGCAGTCATGACCATGTGTCTATAGCACTGGGCCGTTTGCATTAGCATTTGCTTTTTTGCATTCCTGAGCAGGATAATGTTGAAGACGGTTGCTGCATCAATTAACAACTGAGATTTTTCCTGCTAGACCGTTAAACGAGCTGAAACCCGTGCTGAAAGTTGACCTGTTGCAGATGCAAGCTCCTAAGGGACAGTGGTGCTCCAAGAGGGTGCCTCTGTTACGTGAAATTAAATCTTTAGTGGGACAAATGTTTGGTCCTTCTCATTATTACATCATTATTTCATTTCTTACTGTAATAGAAAGTTTTAAAAGCAGCTCTTCAGAAAAACTAATATGGTATTTTTTGGCTAAATGCAAAGAGCATTGATAAGGACTTCCTAAAAGTCAGTTTTGCTTAATGAATTTCTTCTAGATCCATGAAATCTTGAGGGGTTTGTTATTGTGACAAATTTGTGTCACCTAGTAGATATTCAGCCAACTGCCACTATATGTAGTTTATGTTGGAGAGGCTCTGGCTGTTCTGAAGAATCTGTAAATACTTCAGGTAATTGAACATAAAATCCCCAAATGTGGTTTAACTTGCTTTAAAACATAAAGGTGAAGTTTTCCATTACAGGGAAAGTCAACCTCAACCTCAATTTAATTTCCTTTTTATGGGAGTCCCATGCCAGTGTGTACATTTGTGATTCCAACCAGGTGTTTCATTATACCAAAGTGCTGGAAAAGAGTGCTTCTATCTCCGAGGTGTATTAGATCTTTTTTTAAAGGCTTTCATGCAAAATCATTCTTGATTCAGCCCTTTAAGCTAGCTGGTTTGTCCAATACATCACATAATAAAATGAAGATTCCTTAATATCCCTATGAGAAATACTTCAAGTAACAAGGCCAAATGCACCTAAAAAGCTGAGTGACTGTTTTATTTTATGAAAACAAGGGTGGATACTTCAGCTTTGCTGTAAGGTTAGTGAGGTTAATGAAAATACTGCTCGTCTAGGGGAAATGACAGAGCGTTGCACAAAACAGATGGCTGCAGAACTTCTCAGCCCTAGCAGTCAGAAAATGGGATCAGGATGAGAAACAGTGGTCACTGTAGGACACAGAAATGAATATTGCATTGGTATTCTCTGTTACAGCTTGGATCTCTGCTGTGTTAGATCTTTATTCTGTGTGAAAGCGTATCAAGCCAAAGAAGGGGCAGGAGGCATTACAGTCTGAAAGGAATGTAAAATTTTTCACAGTTGGAAGCTACTAAACTAATGTAATGGCTCAGAAATCAGAGGAAGCTCATCCATTTTGACCTCTAAAGCCCTTCTGGAGAAGCCTTCTGGGCTGAGAGGAAAGAACCCCTGTAGAAAAATATATTGTGGAACGCTGGGTGGCTTTTAAGCAGTCAGGTGGTGAAGATTTACTCACACCAAGTGGCTTCTCTGGAAACGGGAATATTTTAATCGACAAAACTGGGATCTTTACTGATTCTAAGTACCATGTGACCGCTGCGTTTGAAGTCAGAAGGCTGGTTATCTGCTGAGCTGAGCAAATCCCCGGTGGGTCAAAGCAGTTATGCAGTGAATGAGTTGCAGGTCATTCCATAGCTCTAAGTGAGCGTTATTTACACAAATCCCTGACCTACCAAGAGCAGAGACAACCTCAGTGTGCCCTGCGGCAAGCGGAACTGGCTGAATATTTAAATGGGAGGCTTGTCTGTATTGTTGAGTTTAGGAAACAACGATACCTCTAGTTCTGGGCTTAGGGCATGAAGGTTGGTAC